CCTGCACCGTGCGGTGGAAAACGGGTGCTGGAAGGCACCGGCAGGAGTCAGTTGACCACATGAATGCATTACTTCCATTCCCAGCTTGTGGGCCTCTTAGAGGGCACTGACCTGTTGGAGGAGATGGGGGAGTCTCTTTCTGGGTTCTTCTGAGCAGGAATAGCTCAGGGTAAAACCTCCATCTCCCTGCCAGTATTGCCTGGCGTGGATTTTAGGCCTGAAGGGCTTTAGGGCGGGATGGCAGGCAAATTTCCATGCAGACACCTGCTTGCTGCTGTCAAAGGCTTAAAGAAAAGGCAAAAAAAAGTCTAGGAAAATGCAGTGCACTGGGTGAAAAAGGGCCCTCAGAAACCTGTGTGTTTTCACACACACTAGGAAGATGGCACCAGGCGCAAAACGTAACAGAAACGCAGGATGTTCAGCTCCCCTCTTCCAGTGCGATTGTCCTAAATCAGATGGGGAAGGGGGGCAACTGCGAAATGGGGGGACTCAGACCTTGGGGTCTGCACCCCGAAACTGCCTTGCTCAAACGAGACGCGCCTCCCAGCCTGGTCCTCTGCCCTTGGCCTGCACTGCAAGTCCAATCATCCAGCTGGGTTGCACCATGGCTCCCCAGCTATTGCTGGTGATGCTGGCCCGGGATGTTGGAGATTGTAGTCCCACCCATCTGGCGGTCATCTAGGTGTGGAAAACTGCTTTAATCGGTTAGTTGGTTGCTTTTCCTGTGGCTAATGACCGGGCCCGGGAAAGAATACTTAGTGATAAAGGATACGGGGGAGGATAGGGTCCTTCTCAGGCACTGGTGCAAATGGCCGGGTGGTGTCAAGACGCTGGGAGGGGCTGGTAGGTCTGGCACTGCTGGTCTTTCGAGAAAGCGACGCGGCAGGCTTTTCGAACGAAAAGATGTGTGTAAATGTTCCCGACAGACTTTTGAAACCAAACTTATGAAGATGTTGTGTTTTAAGATCCTAAGGACATTCTTTTCAAATTTATGGTGAAATTTTTCCCAGTGGATCCGGGTCATCTGAAAGAAGAGCTGACGAGGTATGTTGCATTTCGTATTTTATTTTATTTATTATTTTTACGCTGTTCTCTTCAGAAAGTGCTTTTCTGCCCATTTTCTGAGGTGTTCCATTTAAAATAAATAAATGAAAAGTTGCATCCCGAAATATTGATCTCCTTCTGCATGTCTGTTTAAGAAGAAGGCTAACTAGATAAAATAAATCTGTCTTGTTCAATTGTTTGTATACAACTCAGTGCTGAGGCAAAGAAGTTTATTATTCTTACTTATTGCTGTGACCACAATAGGAGGCAGGAAGTTTAAGTGCATTGTTAAATATATAAACCAAGCAAATAATGCAGTGAAAATCAAGGGAAAATTAGGAACACGGGTCCCTGTCCCTGTGTAGCAAGCAATGCAGGACTGGGACGGGATTCAGCACCTTGAAGAAGCTGTTTCTCTCCCATTCACACTAGTCCCTTTTTAAATTCAAGTTTCTTGTCCTTAAGGCTGAATGGCTTGAAGAAGTTTGGCCACTGCCCAATGAAATCAAAGAAACTGAGTAGGGTAGCAAGGGATTCAACATGGTTTCCATCCATCCATCCAGAGACTTAAGTGCATCAGAAAATCCCGAGGCCCCTCTGCAGGCTTGGCCATAGCAGTTAAAATAATTTGCTGCAAGCAGATCCGTGCAGTTTGTGCAAATGTGTTTAACACGCGTCATCCGAGAGGAGAATCCTTCTTTTCATCCTGCAGATAAGCCAAAAGAAACCCATTCGACTGCACCTTTATGCGTGAAACTGCCTCAGCGTGGTCCCTGCAGTTCTGTCAACAAACAGCGTTAGAGGTGCAAAGCCGAGTGTAGAACCAGGAGAGCGAGAGTCCACCTTAAAAGAAAATAAAAGCCAACCATAAGCTGCATTCGGGGGCTGTAGATTCTCTCCCAGGGTGCAGCGTCTTGTGGACAAGATGCCCGTTCCGTTTCCAGCGGCCTAAAGCCAGCTGGCGACAGGCGATGCAATGCTTCGAGGGAAGCGTGTCTGCATCGCGTCCCCAGAGGAGCAGGAGCCCAGGGCCGTGACAGCCCTGAAAATGTTTTTCAGGTACCTGTTCACCCTTCAGATCAAGAAGGATCTGGCCTGCGGAAAACTCCCTTGCAGTGACAACAGTTCAGCTCTGATGGTGTCACATCTTCTGCAATGTACGTCCGTTGCGTTCAGTCTTGGAGGTCCCTTCTGCAGGAGAGGGTGATGGTGACCAAACGGGCAGTGACGTTGCCGGGCCTTTGAGCAGAGGAATGTCCCGCCTGGCAACGGAGCTGCACAAATGACATAGGCTGGGAGAAATCATTCCTCTCGGCTCTTCCCCTGGACAGTCATTTCTACAATGGGGTCTGGGCTGGCCATGATTTGCTCCTGGCTTTTGTTGAGGGACTGGGGGGGTGGCAGCCAAATAAAGCCGATCCCATTGATCAGAAGCACCCTTGACTGGAATGATTGCTTCCTGCAGCCGCGCTGGGTGATTTTCATGAAGAAATGGACCGAAAGCACCTGGAAACACACAAATACTTACTGAACCAAGAGGATCTGATGAACAGCATCATGCATTACCATAAGAAACACATGTAAGTCTTTGATTTTCTCCACTTGCTGTTTTTTACTTTTGCTCATAATTCCTTGAATTGAGAACTTAACCAAAATTAAAGCTTCCATGCGTGGAAAGTCTTCATTCTGCCACTTGTATAAAGTGGGCAAATGAAGTCAATCTGCAGGTGGTTACTCCACCCACCTCCCCGAAACATATTCAACCATTTCACAAACTCCACAATTTCTGTAGCTCTTGTCTGGGCACCACCAAGCGTATTTCACCAGTCATAAGGAATAGAAATGCACAGCTGCCATCCTTTGGAAGTTGAATGATGTATTCTAGGCTGTACCCACCTTGGCATTTCCCAATCCAGTGCCCTCCATGTGTTCTTGGGCTGGAATTCCCTTTATTCCCAGGCAGCCTCAGCCAAGTCTGACGTGACTGGAGGACGTGAGATTGAGGGATGGCTCTGGATTTAGATGTTAATAGATCTTCATAGTTGCATCCTACCTTTCCTTCAACATTCGGTTGATGGTTTTGGTTGATGGTTCCATGAATACCTTGGCATTGTCTCCAATAACTGAGGGTGATGGGTGTTGAAGTCCAAAATAGACCCCAGATTGTGGGATCCTTGTGGGGTCCTGTGAAAGTCACCAAGATGTGGACACATCTTCACCACGATCCCCTGAGGCTGGATCAACTTCGAGATGGCAAATGGCCCCTGGTTCCAAAGAAGCTTTATACCCCAAGTGGGGTTTTGAACTCAGATGTTTCCAGCACACTGATAACTCCTTGTCAGCCCTTTGAGATAGGCCAGGTCAGGCGTCATACACCACAAGGAAAACTGGAATGCTACTTCGTTGCTGTAGGGTCTCTGACTCTCATCACACAACTTTCTGAATTGGAGATCAGAAACTTGAGAAGAGACAGGAGACTTCCAGTCTCCAAACTGGGGGCATCAGAAATGGGAGAAAATGTCCTGGTTGAAGGCGGGGGTATGAAGCCTTGGGTGGGAGGAGAGTTGCTGACCCCCCCAACTTTATTTTAGGGGCAAAACTCCTGCTGAATCAGATGTGCAGCTCCTGGACATAGCAAGGAAACTGGAAATGTATGGGATCCGACCCCATCCTGCAAGCGACGGAGAAGGGACCCAGATCAACTTGGCAGTCACGCACATGGGGGTGCTGGTTCTGCGGGTAAATGTGACCCTTTCTTGTGACAAATTTCTGAGCAATACAGAACAGTATGTGACGATGCTAATGCGATGCCACACCCATGAATTATCTTGGCTGGCTGGATTCTGCGACCTGGTACAATCAGCATGAAAGCAGAGCTTTTAGCAGCTCTCTGTTGTCCTAGATGGACCTCTTGGATAACTCGTGTCCTTCTAAAAGAGGCCATTGGAAGCCAGTGCTGTTCAGCAAAAGTCCTTTCTAATGTTAATTAAAAGCTTCCTGTTTTAAGTATAGCCTGGTCAATTGCCTCCCGGTGACCCAGGGTGGGCATTAGAGAGAAATCTTGGTGGGGACTGCTGGATTCTCCTTGCACTTGCGGCTTCACCCAGCACCCTTTGATGCGGGCATCTCAGCTTCTGTCGTTCCTTGGTAAACCAAACTGCTGCGATGTCAGAGTGTGGTGTTGCACAGCAGGGAGACATCTCTTGACCATATAATTTTCTGCCAAGAATAGCAGCCTCATTTTGCGGCAATTACATGGTTCTGCAGCTCCCCAGATTTCTGTGCAGGGGAGATGCAGACTTTGGCGAGCGCTGGCTGGCAAATGTGGGCGATGCAGCTCGACAGTCCTGCCTTCGGCTGGGGGGAGGAG